CCAAAAAAAAAAAAAGAATTATCGAGTTGTCATAAACAAGCTACTTCTCTCTTTTCAGATAATCTGAAAAGTCAGTTAAACAAGAGACAGATGATTTCTACAATCCCATTCCCCTCCAACACACAGTAACTGAGATTTAGACTTACAGGCGCAGCACAGTACAGAATAAAAAAGCTACAATAAATAAAGGAGATTGGTAATGTAATATATGTATCAAAGATAAGTAAAATTCAGTATACAAAGAAAGGCTAAAAGTCTCTAAAGGGACTTGAAAAGGGGCAAGATCAATAAAGACTAGAAAAGTTTCTGTAATTGGACAAGGATACTTTGAGGATATATAACTTAAGTCTAATACTGAGAGATGTGCATAGACAGGGAAAAGGAGGGACAGTTTTCCAGGCAGAAGCAGAAAAAGGAAAAGTGGGCACAAATGTAGCATTAGCTCTATTTCCTAAATAATCTATGCTATTTATTCTAAATTGCTTTTGTAATGGTCTAAAATGCCAATTTGGTGATTAAAAATGTAAAATCCTTGAAGTCTTTAATTGTTGAGAGCTGATGACACAATTTTGTAAAAATAAAAACAGGAACACCCCGGTACATAAAGCAAGTTCTTTTTTTATTTTTCTTTTTTTTTTTCTTTTTTGAGACAGAGTCTCGCCGCCCCAGGCACCAGGCTGGAGTGCAGTGGCGTGATCTCAGCTCACTGCAACCTCCGCCTCCCAGGTTCAAGCAATTCTCCTGCCTCAGCCTCCCAAGTAGCTGGGACTATAGGCGCGCGCCACCACATCCAGCTAATTTTTGTATTTTTAGTAGAGACGGGGTTTCACCATGTTGGCCAGGATGGTCTCAATCTCTTGACCTCATGATCTGCCCACCTTGGCCTCCCAAAGTGCTGGGATTACAGGCGTGAGCCACCACGACCAGCCAGCAAGTTCTTAAGGACCTATAAAGAGACTAGGACTCCCACACAATAATAGTGGGAGACTTTAACACTCCACTGTCAATATTTAACAGATCAACCAGACAGAAAATTAACAAGGACATCCAGGACTTGAACTCAGATCTGGACCAAGTAGCCTAATACACGTCTACAGAAATCTCCACCCTAAATTCACAGACTATACATTCTTCTCAGCACCGCATGGCACCTACTCTAAAACTGACCACATAATTGGAAGTAAATCACTCCTCAGCAAATGCAAAAGAACAGAAATCATAACAAACTTCTCTCAGACCACAGTGCAATCAAATTAGAACTCAGGACCGCACAACTTCATGGAAACTGAACAACTGGTTCCTGAATGTTGACTGGATAAACAACGAAATGAAGGCAGAGATAAAGATGTTCTTCAAAACCAATGAGAACGAAGACACGACATACCAGAATCTCTGGGACACATTTAAAGCACTGTCTAGAGGGAAATTTATAGAAAATAAATGCACACCAGAGAAGCAAGGAAAGATCTAAAATCAACACCCTATCATCAAAATTGAAAGAGCTAGAGGAGCAAGATCAAAAAAACTCAAAAGCTAGCAGAAAACGAGAAATAACTAAGATCAGAGCAGAACTGAAAGAGACAGGGACACAAAAAATCATTCAAAAAATCAAGAAATCCAGGAGCTGGTTTTTTGAAAAGATCAACAAAATAGACAGACTACTAGCTAGATTAATACAAAAGAAAAGGGAGAAGAATCAAATAGATGCAATAAAAAACAATAAAGGGAATATCACCAGTGACTACACAGAAATATAAATTACAATCAGAGATTACTACAAACAACTCTATGCACATAAACCAGTAAACCTGGAAGAAATGGATAAATTCCTGGACACTTGCACCCTTCCCAAGCTAAACAAGCCAGAAGTTGAAACCTTGAACAGAACAATAACAAAGGCTGAATTGAGGCAGCAATTAATAGCCTACCAACCAAAAAAAGTCCAGGTCCAGACGAGTTTACAGCCGAATTCTACCAGAAGTAAAAAGAGGAGCTAGTACCATTCCTTCTGAAACTATTCCAAACAATACAAAAAGAGGGAATCCTTCCCAAATCATTTTATGAGACCAACATCATTCTGATACCAAAACCCGGCAGAGACTCAACAAGAAAAGAAAACTTCAGGCCAATATCCATGATGAACATAGATGCAAAAATCTTCAGTAAAATACTGGCAAACCGATGGCAACAGCACATCAAAAAGCTTATCCATCACAATCAAGTAGGTTTCATTCTTGGGATGCAAGGCTGATTCAACATGCAAGTCTACAAACATAATCCACCACATAAACAGAACCAAAGACAAAAGCCACATGATCATCTCAATAGATGCAGAGAAGTCCTTTGACAAAATTCAACAGCACTTTATGTTAAAATTCTCAATAAACTAGGTATCAAAGGAACATATCTCAAAACAATAAAAGCTATTTATGACAAATCTACAGCCAATATCATAATGAATGGGCAAAAACTGGAAGCCCATTGAAATCTGGCACTAGATAAAGATGCCCTCTATCACCACTCCTATTCAAAATAGTATTGGAAGTTCTAGCCAGAGCAATTAGGCAAGAAAAAAAAATAAGGAGTATTCAATTAGGAAAAGAGGAAGTCAAATTATTTCTATTTGCAGACAACATGATTATATATTTAGAAGACCCTATCATCTCAGCCCAAAATCTCCTGAAACTGATAAGCAGGTTCAGCAAAGTCTCAGGATACAAAATCAATGTGCAGAAATCACGAGCATTTCTATACACCAATAACAGACTAACAGAGAGCCAAATCATGAGCAAACTCCCATTCACAATTGCTACAAAGAGAATAAAATACCTAGGAATACAACTAACAAAGGATGTAAAGGACCTCTTCAAGGAGAACTACAAACCACTCAAGGAAATAAGAGAGGACACAAACAAATGGAGAAACATTCCATGCTCATGGTTAGGAAGAATCAATATAATAAAAATGATCATACTGCCCAAAGTAATTTACAGATTCAACACTATCCCCATCAAGCTACCAATGATCTTCTTCACAGAACTGGAAAAAAACACCTTAAACTTCATATGGAACCAAAAGACAATAGCCCAGACAATATTAAGCAAAAAGAACAAAGCGAGAGGCATCATGCAACCTGATTTCAAACTATACTACAAAGCTAGAGTAATCAAAACAGCATGGTACCGGTACAAAGACAGAGATATAGACCAATGGAACAGAACAGAGGCCTTGGAGGCAATGCCACATATCTATAACCAACTGATCTTTGACAAACCTGACAAAAACAAGCAACGGGGAACGGATTCCCTGTTTAATAAATGGTGTTGGGAAAACTGGCTAGCAGTATGCAGAAAGCAGAAACTGAACCCCTTTCTGACACCTTAAACTAAAATTAACTCCAGATGGATTAAAGACTTAAACATAAGACCTAACACTATAAAAACCCTAGAAGAAAACCTAGGCAAAACCATTCAGGACATAGGCATAGGCAAGGACTTCATGACTAAAACACCAAAAGCTTGGCAACAGAAGCCAAAATAGACAAATGGGACCTAATTAAACTCCAGAGCTTCTGTACAGCAAAAGAAACAATCATTAAAGTGAACCAGCAACCAACAGAATGGGAAAAGATTGTTGCAATCTACCCATCTGACAAAGGGCTAATATCCAGAATCTACAAAGAACTAAAACAGATTTACAAGAAAAAAACAAAGAAATCCATCCAAAAGTGGGTGAAGGATATAAATAGACACTTTTCAAAGAAGACAGAAATGCTCATCATCACTGATTATTAGAGAAATGCAAATCAAAACCACATTGAGATACCACCTCACACCAGTTAGAATGGTGATCATTAAAAAATCTGGAGACGACAGATGCTGGAGAGGATGTGGAGAAATAGGAACACTTTTACACTGTTGGTGGGAGTATAAATTAGTTCAACCATTGTAAAAGACAGTGTGGCACTTCCTCAAGGACCAGAAATAGAAATTCCATTTGACCCAGCAATCCCATT